CAGCACCTGTGAAAGAGGAAAGAATGGGAAGCACTGCAGCACCTGTGAAAGAGGAAAGAATGGGAAGCACTGCAGCACCTGTGAAAGAGGAAAGAGTGCACCCAGAACGCCAGTCACTTACCTTGGCATCCCAGTTTTTATTCAGGTAATATATACAGGTCACGCATCTCCCATCGCCGTTAGGGTTATCCACATGACGCACATACCCCAGTCCGTTGCCAGGGTAACACGCCACCATCGCCTGGAACAGACATAGAGAGCGGGGATTTATGTCGGCAAACTCCGTAAACAGCGGTTCAGGTATTGCTTTTTCCTTCACAAAAAACAATGCACAAATTCATTTTCAGAATTAACTGCAGAGCACTGTGACTCACGGCTGTAGCTGAACCCTGAAGGTGGAATTAACGACACGGCACTGCAGAGATGTTTCCACCTAAGCAGGGAACATGTCATGACCTCAGCAGGAACAGCTCCCTTTAATGAGAAGCACGGGGTCGGGTTCTGTGAACAGGATCTCTTTATATCATTAACCTGGTACTCCAGAGCACAACATCTGCGCTCTCCCAGCCTTCAGAGCCAGATCCCTTTTCATATACTTCAATCCAGCTTTCAGTGCCATCAAGACGCTGAAGCAGTTTCGTGAGCTCAAAGAAATAAGCACCAGCCTGGTAAAATGCTACCGGATTCTTTATTGTCTGAGAAACAGGATACTGACCGAGTTAAATAACAAGAGATCTAACACTTAAGGCTGTATCCTCTCTCTGCTGCTCTTCTCACTTGTCATCAGTGAAATTTCAGCTCTCAGCAGAGTTCAATCAAGGCCAACGAGCACGCTGATGACGGCAGCCTGAGTGGGCTAATCGGAAATGACAAACTTGTCGAGGAGAGGTGTTCTGCGGAAGATGGTGCACAGACCACCTCCTCGTCAACAGCAAAACCACAGAAATAACCACAAACAACCCACTGCAATCAATCATCAGCCAATAATCCTCAGACGGTTTCAAATCCAGTGAAATACAAATCAGTCGCTCAAAATGGGACATAAACTCCAATTATGTCATCAAGAAGACATCAAAGACCATCAGATCTCTCCCTCTACACCAGGTGGATTGAAAGGTCAGTAAGGATAATCTCTCCGGTCCTCATTAACTCTGCCTTTTCCAGATCCTCCCCTCTGGGACATAAAGTGCAGTGTTATCTGCATTTGTTATATTTAGTCCACCAGTGACAATTTCCCTCCATCCACACCTGCAGCTGCGGCCCCAACATAGATGTGTTGTTAAGCCGTGCTGTTAATGTCTGACCACTCGCAGTCCAGGTCTTCTTCCTATCTGTTGTCACTCTAAGCCGAATCGGATCCAAACGCTACCGATCTGCTCGTGGTTAATAAATCGAGAATCAGGACTGCATGCTCTCCGCGTCCGGCGTGCATCTGAATTTGATACCAAAGTGGTTGCTGAAGCTGACCGTTGTTTAAGGCTCAGGCTCATACACGCTGAAGAGACTGTGTCCCTGGCACAGGCTGGCTTAACCGTCTGATGACCCCCTCCTTCCACCCCCCACTCCGCCAATAATACACTCTGCCAACTGGCACCCCCATCTCCAACCCCACCCCCCCGCTTCCGATTCTAAGGCACCCCTGCTTCGGGTGGCATGGTCGGTGGAAGCACAGCCTCCGATATCTACACCGCAGTCCGAGATATTTTACTGTCCTACTGGTATTTTAGCCGCCAAATTTCTAACCAGGACTGCTGGACGTAAGAACCGTTAGCGAGGGGGATCAGAGGTCAGCTATCACGACTGAAGTGTAATAATATAGCGGACTGGAGAATAACATACTGCCAAAGCTTTGCTGAACTGCAAGAACGGTCATCGATGTAGGTTTCAGGTCAAGGAAATTATACAGGAGAACTATTGATTTATGCACACAAACACTCACACAAAAGCAGTTCATATATTCCTGTCCTTGTGGGGACTCTCTTCGTTTCTAGGGTATAATAATAACCCTACCTAAGATAACCCTAACCCTAAGATAACCGTAACCCTAACCCCTACCAGCCCCAACCTTAAGCAAATAAAATACAAGATTTTTTGGCATTTTTACTTTTTTCCACTTCACAAATTTTCATGACACTGAGGTGCTTGTTGTGGGGACCTGAAAAATGTCCCCAACAGGTTTTACCACATTGTTGACATACTTGGTGCCCACAACGTGGTAAATACAAACACTCTCTCTCTCTCTCTCACACACACACACACACACACACACACACACACACACACACACACACACACACACACAATCCCTTACTAATAGAAGTTAAGAGCATCAGCTGTCAGGGTTGCCATGTCTCAGCCACTGTCTCCGTCTTGCACCCGAGACATGTGGACGTCTCTAGAAACCGTCATGTCCCAGGCGACACCAGAGAGCAAGGAAGGATCATCTGACCCGGGCTTCCTAAAGCAGCTGACATGATCCAATAAGGAAAGGGAAGCTTCCATTATGAACAGAAAACAAAGGCATAACCCCCTTAGTACTGCGTTTAAAAAAAAATCAGGGAGATGATCTAACTGTTAATTAACTTCAAATGTTAAACTTGCAAACCTAACTGCTGATAAAAGCTCTATGGATTTTATAGCATTCATTTAAGGTTCAACTTGTTAAAACTGACATTGGTCTTTATAATTAATACTAACACCTACTGATTTATCCTACCACACCCATCAGTGCATTTTATGCTGAAAAGCATGCTGGCGTCTCATCCGGGGTGGCCCATTCTGACTGGGGTCTGGGCTCAGCCCGGATAGACATGAAAGAATGCGGGGCCGGTGTCTGGCCCCCACGCAGCTCCAGGTATTCACTGACGGACAGGCTGGGGCGGCTCAGCAGGCCTGAGATATGCAGATTGGGGCCCTGATTGTGTGGGCGGAGTCTAAGTCCCGCATGGGCGGAGCCTGTGGAAAGACCCTTTATTTTAACGTATCCTATTGGCGACGGCTGAGGGACTTCGGCGAATAAGCTTGCTTACTCAAGACAGCATCCCACAGCACCGAATGACTCAGCCTTGAGAATAAGACTGGGGGGGGGGGTTGTTTATGGATCAATCACTCAACGATAAAACAAAGGACTTATTAAAAAAAATCTCCTTCTGGAAAAATGAATTCAGAAGTCGACAACAGCAGCAGAGATTTGCTTGTATATCAGAGATATTCTAACAACATTACCCTGAAAACAGCACTCATAGTCAATATCCCAGATTTCTTTTACATTACGCAGGAATTAAAAGGAAGCATTTAAAGCCCATCGCGTTTCTTGGAACAATGTCATAGGTAATACAGCTGCAGAGAAACCCAAACAGAAGGTTAGGCCTGGAAGTCAATGTGCTCAGGCCAGCCAACTGTATTTACAGTACAACTCTAGCGTGCCGTCGTGTTTCCCTAAACTCTCCAGGTACTTATCAAAGAATTAGGACGGAAACACCCAGAAAAACAACTTCTTAAAGGGGCCGATTCACATTCACTGTACATCCGTTAGCTTCTGTTGCATCTGGGTCAAACGGCAGCAGGAAAAAAACCAAAACAAACACACACACACACACACACACACACACACACACACACACACACAGCACGTAGGGAGCAGTGCTACGTATTTATTTATTTCACTTGGAATGCAGATGCTTACGTCAATCCCAATCTGCCAGTGCTAGTTTTGCCGTACGTGGCAGTGTTGGAATCGGAAATACCTTCGCCCGCAGGAGCAGGACAGGATCCGGGCCTCTAGCTCTACCAAGAGGATGGGGTGGGGGGTGCAGCCCCCTCGGCCCCGCGCGCATCTCCACGCGGCCGGCTGACCCCAACGTAAACACCCCCAGCTGGCAGGCTGCCAAGCCGGCAGCGTCTTAATGATCCTGCTACGTGCAGCACGTGAGGGAGACCCAGAGGGGGAGGCCACGGGGGGGCGGGCGGCGTGGGGGAGGGATGGATAAACATATTAGTCACTGTCAGGGACGAAGTGCTGGATGGGTGGCGAGAAGCGACCATGCAGGGCCACAGACGAACGTGCACACAGACTGTGACCCGCCCCCCCCCCTGGACTCCCATATCCCGCCCCCACTGGCTGCGTGAACCTTCACCTCCTCCGGAAGGAGGGGAGGACCTTGGGCTGGGGGTGTGTGGAGCCAAACAGGGCTGCACCAAGCAGGAAACGTACCGACATCAACCTCTGTTGCAATTTAGCCCCACAGTTTCAGGGTGGGTGGGGAAAAGGATGTGGGGTCCTGTTAAAAGAGGGTGAATCTATTCATAACCCCCCCCCCCCCCCCCCCCCCACCCCCCCCATGAGCAACACGCACCCAAACAAACGCATATCAGTCTGATGGCCTTAATAGCTACATTTGGACAATTGAGCATTCAGGAAGAATTGGAGCAGACACAGAGAAAATGGACAGTGATATCTGTTTATCCTTGCATTAGGCTTGAGGCTGGCGGGGTTAAACGCTGGGGGGGGTGATAACGCCGCTGGCTGCTGCCCAGGAAGGCGCTGTTTAGACAAACCTCCCACTTTTTCCTCTTTTTATACAGCTGAGCAAAAACAATAGAAACAGACACAGAGTCCGTGATCTCCACTCCAGCCAATCGACCTTGCAGCCCTGGCTGGACCAATGAAATGTTCCGTTTTAATCTGGGATATACATGTGGTTGGTTGGTACCAGTAGCCAATTGCAGGGTCCGCTAGACAGAGGTGCAGGATGACCTTTTTAAAAAAAAAAAAGAAAAAAAAAAGAAGCAGAGTGTAATAATTTTGGCTGTAACTACGCAGACACAGGAGTGTGCAGAGCGCCATGGAGAAGGGATGCAGACGGCAGACGCTGCTGNGGGGGGGGGGGGGCATGTATTGGGTGGGGGAGGGGTGAAGCACTGTGTGCACACGCAAGCACACACGCACCTTCTCCATGGGAGGGGTCTCAATCTACGTAAGCATGCCTTATCAGTTTCTGCCACCACGAATGCACTCTTTACCCCCTGGTCCCACGCTCTCTCATCCTGGGACCAGCCGCCGAGTGGGGGGGGGGGGCCATGGCGTGCGGATTGGGAGCGATGCGGCGGCCAATCAAAACCGGCCACGTGAACAACACCCCTGAAGCGGTTCCAGCGTATCTGTGACCCGCGGCGGAAGCGAGCTTCAGGACTTTATTGTGCTGAGCCTATGGGGGGGGGGGGTCCTTTGTCCAGGGGGCC